TTAAATATTTAGCTAGCCACCTAAATGTTTAAGTTAAATATTTAGCTAGCTACACTTACAGTATGTTGTACAGTAACGTTTTTAAATAAAGATGGGCTGATTTGGACCAACACTGTTAGATTTTAGCTGTAGATATTTGAGGCTTTTGCATGCTGTTAGTGGAACGCTCACACGCAGGTGTAAAGTCACAGCTCTAGCACTTTTGAGAGGAGTTAGAGAGGCATGTGAACAAAGTGAGATAGGTTTGAGAAATTCACCAGAGCACTGCAATTATTTTGAGAGCACAGTTGATATTTCCAACAGGTTCAAAACTGAAGTGACAAGACTGTAAACTGCTTCAAACAACACCGGGAAATGAATAACCCTTTGAAACATCACAAAAGTGTTTGAGACACTCCCCTTTGAATGCCATTCTTTAACTGCCAGAGAGACTTCCTCAAGAAACAAACCTCCATGAGAAAATCACAATATTTATTGCTAATAATCAAGGGAAACTATTGTTAAAATACATTGTGAATGGTAAATATATAATTTAATACAAACACACAAACAGTATCTGACAAATTGTATAAATAAATCCTCTAGAGTGTATTTTATTTGGTTTTGAACTGTAAGTCACTTTAAGCTCAATCTGCCTGTGGAAATATTAAAAAACAGAAAGCAACCCTTGACAAATCTCACAAAGAAAAGTTCTGTACACAAGCTGTGGGCGCCAAATTGAACTTATAACAAGTATCTGTGTCAAAACACAATCATGGTTACATGGAGTGGGTTCAGGGTTTTCGGGGAATTGCTGTCTAACTTTTTAAATTGAAACGTGTAACGCGTAGGTTTTCATTAACAAAACAGCACATTCAGACCTTGTTCTTAACTCAAAGCACACCGGCTCTGAGTGCCACTTTATCTGCCTCACTCTCCTGCTCAAATGAATTCAATCGCCTGCGTGACTCACTTGACTGAGGAATGAGAGACGAACAATCCCGGCTCATTTGACGCACTCTACCTGAGAGTTCACAAAGTCGCGCGTGGAAGCCTGATGGAGACGAGAGACAAAGGCGGGGATGAAACCCGAACTCGTCAGGCTCCTCTTGTTTTTTTTTTTTTTTTTCGTTGCCATGACTACGGCAGTCCTCTCCAGTTCCTCGGTGGAAAGAGAAGAGGCACGGAGGGACGGGTGGCAAATGGCTCCGCCCGCCGAGGGAATTTATAGACCTAACTTGGCAACTAAAGACTGACATATTGAACCTATGTAGATGGCATCATGGTATAGTATATTTACATAATAATAATAATAATAATAATAATAATAATAATAATAATAATAATAATAATAATAATAATAAATAGTATAATTACAAACTAAATCAAACTTTAGAAATCTCTTCTCTTCCTCTTTGCCATCCCTGCTCTCCGTGGCCTTTTCACAGCGCCCGGCGGATGCACTTCAGGGCGTGTTGCTTTGGCAGGTGCAGAAGCAGGTTGAGCAGGTTGCGAGTGTCACTCTGTTGGGCCCTCCTCCCTCCGTTTCCCCTGTTTGATTCTCTCCAGGGCAACTGCTGATTCACTGTTACGAGTCGGCAGGTCAGCGAGGAGAGTTGGTTGTCTGTGCACCTGTTCTCATCTGACACAACCAGAGATCAAGGTAAGAACTCGCTGCGACAGAGAGATTTCAAATTTTAACCAGCAACAAACAGGAAACAGGGTTTCGTATAAAACTGAAAAGATAAAATCTGTAGTGTCAGATTTACAAGAGTGGTGATTCAAAAAGTAAAATGCCACAGAGAGAGGAAATGAGGTTAGAATTTGGAACAAATCAAAGTAAATTGCCATGTCAATGCATAGATTAAACTCATCCAAGGTAAACATACCAAACACTATCAATGTTTTCTTCTTATTAATTAATTATGAGCCGTGGTTTGTGCCATATGTTGATATGTGCTTAATTTGTAGCGTGACACCACTGGTTGTTTATCGGATCATGTATTTGTCATGGACGGAGCAGGAAGTATACTGCTGGAGACTCAACACCTTGTATATCACAGCTATTAGAGTTGTATTAATATGAATGTTCTGTAAATTAGAGTCAATGAAGAGCTGATAACAACAGTGAACAGCTTAAATGTCAGCTAATTACCATGTTTGTGTGTCTGTATGTGGGTGGAAAGGTGTTTTCGGGGTGTAGTGTTTCTTTTCTGTGTATGTGTGTTCCTTTGTTTACGGGGGACTGGATCTCGGGGAAGTTAGAGCTGACAGGACTGCTGAAGCGATAGCTGGTACAGACTCTGACAGAGCAGCAGAGTGGGAACTCACTTTCAGCAGAAGGCTTCTCGGTGTGTGATGGGTCAGAGGTAAACATGTCTTCCTGTCTTCTCGACCCGCTGCCTCTCAAAGGCCCGTTGGAGAGACACCCAAGGACAAATACACTCTCAGAGCAGCAGTGTGGGAGGATGTGGGAATAATATGAAGGACAGGAAGTGACACTGACTTGGATTAAACAACCCACATATGTGGGCAGCACGAGTCCAAAATATCGAGAACATCTGTCTTTGAGCAGTCTGAGACGTTTCAGGTGACCTGTGAGACTTCTAGAGACAAGGTTTTAAGTCGTTACCACCAATCTGATGTTTGAACAATCAGGATTGTCTGCACAGATGATATATTATTTTACAAAACACATTTTATAACAAACCTATACAACATGTTCCTCAGATTTCATTTTAAATCTCAAAGGCCTTTGGCACAGTTAGACTTTTAAACACAGCTGTCTTCCTTGTTCCGCATACAATTATTATTACTCATCTAAATATTAAGTTAACTTTTCAGAGTGGTCACATTAAAGTGAAGGGCATTTATTAGCTGGCTGATATATACTGTATATATACAGTATATATA